CGCGCGCGCGCGGGGCGGGGGGGGGGGGGGTGGTTGGGTGGCACCCGGCTCCTCGAACTGATCAATACCTGAAACACCGCGAGGTATCGTCCCGCTATTTCCGGTGTCCCAGCGCGGCCGGAAATGAAGGCGTTAAAAATATACTCCAGATAGCGCGCGCCGGTATTATATCCTCCAACCCGGTACAGGTGCCCTCAATAGTGACGAAGAGACCGATCTGCCGGCGAGACGTCTCGCGACGAGAATCCAGAGTGAATCAGACTACTCGTGACCTCAAAGGCCTGAAGTAAGTAAGCGGCGAGCGATTTTAACCGTTCTTAGCGGATGAGATAAGCGCGGAGAAAGTGGAACGTAAGATTGTCTCTCTTTGGCGGAAAAGTGCACTCGGTATTTCGTAATTACAGATCTGTTAACTGCGAAGAAATAAGTGGGATAATCGTAATCTTGTATCTTTTGCGATACAGCGAAATTGACGATAATTATTACAGTTCGCCTTTGATTGTGTTAAATGATTTCCTACTTTCTCTATTCTTCGTTCACTAATATATTACATAATTTTGAAACTTTTAACGCACGATTATAAGAGCCGCAGATATTTATGAAATTACGAGATTGCGTTTTGTGCACTTAAAATTACTTGTTCTGCTAATTACGGGCTCGTTACTAGCCAGATGATCGTTATTGGCGCGTACTGTACGCTCGCACGGGCGAGGGCTCTTTATCTGCGAGGGCCCGGCCTGATCGACTTTTAATTATAGCTATCTGCTACCTGGTTCGCTAGTGCTCGGCGTGTAAGGGTGAACGCGAGGAATCGGCGCGCCGAGATGATCGATCCCGAAGCCATTCCCGCGGCTGGAATCTTCATTTCGTGGCGGTTACTGCATCTACAGCACGAATTCGATATTGCGTGAATATTCACAACCGCTATCGCGAACTCAATTGTATAGATTAAAGTACGAGACACGGCCAGAGAAAAGCCCGATATCTCCCGCGGCAAAATATGTAATTACGAGGAATCGATATATACGAGAAATTGATTTTCGATTATTCTATTCTTCTCATATCACTGTCAGACATTTCAATTATCATTAAGTTGTATTAATAATTACAATTTAGATTCGTTTAATTAAACATCCAACAATTAACCATATTATATACTGCGTGATTCACGTCTGTATACTCGGTGACGCGAGTGCACCTTCTTCCAAACGAACGCGCAACAAGATCCAATAATATCTCGTTTGTTCTCGTGAACTCTCTTAAGCTCAATCTCTCAAATTCTTATCTCGCTGGAGATCCAAGTTTATGAATAAGATGAATCGTTTGATCATCTTGGATGAGATGTAATATTCTGCACGGTACCGTAAAATCGCGCGTAGCGCGAAAGATCGCTCGGAAAACTGCAAATATCTGTTGAGCCTGTTGAGGGCGTGACCACGAGTGCGATGTGAAACTCCGGATTTGCGAAATCGCGGCGAAGGGGTTGGTTTAGTATCAACAGGTAGAATACGTCCTCTTCCCCACCGGATAAGCTCAGGGCTAAGCGCCGGCGCTGGCTAAACCTCTCGCACCCTCCCGAGGGTGTGACCTGCCCTCCCCATTGGCCGGACGTGTGAAAAAGAGAGCGACTCAGTCCTGCGCGGATAAGATCTTTTTAAATCTCTCTCTCTCTCTCCGAGAGGGGTGGAGCTTTCGACCGAGCTTTTTCACGGCGACACGCGCGAATGATCGCCCGTCAGTCCTGCGAAAGCAATTAATTCGTTACAGACGCTAGTGCGTTTTTGTACTAAATTAATTTGCGCTCCGTGCGTCATTATAATTAGTCAAGCGATATTTAGACCTTTTCAGCACGTGTTTTTATTATAAACGGCTCTATTAAACGTGACACGTGTACTCATAAAAACAACGTTTTGCTTCATAGTATTATCTTTTGTGTTTCTGAATTATAATGTCAATATCATTAATCTTTCTTGCTAGGCTACTTGTCTGACTTGTCTCGTTGCTGAAGTAACCCGAGAAAAAATGGTATATGGTCAGACGGTAAATATATATAATTAGTTATAAAAAAATCTGATAACACGTAATATTTTATACGATCCTACAAAATTACATATATTATTAGATCTTTTCATAACTAATTATATATATTTACATCTGACCGATTATACCATTTTTTCTCGGGAAATTTCAAATTACAAATTTTAATGTTCTACTATTTATTTGTTCTTGTTTTTTTGAAGATTCAAGATGCAAATTTTAAATTTAATCGTCTGATTAAATAAAAAAATCTCAAAACGCTGCTTTCATTCTAATAATTTATTTTTATAGATATTTCTAGATATTAGAATATCTGATTACAAAACTCATAATTCGGAATAATTATTACAGAGAAAGAAGCAATCCGTATTGCATCTTATAATCAATCGCGTATAACAGAGAAATGCAACATGAATGTACGAAACTCTCGCATTTGATCTAATCCTCCTCTGTTGGATGTCGTTTCACAGAGAAGGAGCCGCAGATACGATCCTGTCGGATCGAAAAAACGACGAAAGAAGATCGTAATGCGGCGACAGCGACGAGGAGCAGGGGAAAATATCCGCATGGGTCAGCCGAGAGAGGCTTAGACCGCGGAGATGCCCGCTTCAATATCGGCTTTCGGGATACTTGAGATATTTATCTAATGTCTTACATTTTCCGCGGCACTGCCCATTCAAATTTCCATTCATGTCTCCTCTACAGAAAATCTGTTTCCTTGGATTGCCGCTTTCGACGAAGCTTCGACCTACGGCAAAGCTCGTTAAAATATTTCAGTATCTCAGTAATTTTGCGACGTTATAACAGTCGTAATAAAAAAAATTTATAAATTTGTAGCACGAATACAAATTATAAGTGCGTACGTGTTTAATTCGCTCGAGTGAACGTGCATTAAAATCGCTACAGTTATTTTTAAATTAGTACAAAGAAATTAATGATCGAGCAGTGATTATAATTGTGTATCTAAAATGCCAAATAAGATCGTTCTCAACGAAATTAACTTGCCGAAATTAAACAAACCAGTATCGCTGATGCCACACACCTCGCTGCATACGCGCGCAAATTATCACGCGGTCAGATTGCAGGTGCTTTTGCTACTCTATCTTTGTTCGATTTTTTTTCTCGCTTCTTTTGTGCGGAATATCAGACTCGTCACCTCAATGCGGCAGTCGAGTTATCTTACAGAGATATCGTGTCGCGTACCCTGCGTTACTTATCAAAGATAACTAGTAACTCAGTACTTTGAGCGCGGTTTAGAGAGCCGGCACGCTCATTGATTTCGCAGCGAATGATTTCAGGCGACCGATCCTTCGTCTTTTCGGCGCGATTTACGACGATGATATTACGCGATCCGAGACACGCAAATATTATCTCGGCAGCAGCGGCGAAGTGAATTGTGTGTGGCTGTGAAAATGTGGGTTACGCGCGATTATTCGGTCGTCTAACTCGCCTCGGTAATGTAAAGGAACATGGAGGAACAATCAGTGATACATCGCAGCGTGCTTCTGTCGCTGGTCACGTGGTTGACAATTTTGTCGATTGTGGGATGTCAAAGCATCTGTCCCACTAGATGTTTATGCTATCTTATCCGAATGCCCCGCACTATCGAATGCTCGAGACAAGGAATGCTAGTCTTTCCCGAAAATATTAGTGATATTGTGAGTTTCACGGCACTCTCATTAATTCTCTTTATCTTTTTTTTATTGACACTATAAATTTTATTGCGATTTTAAACGCCAATAAAATGAAGTAAAATAGCGGTGCGTCGATACGTGAATGCACTCGGTGGGAATCAAGAGAAAGACGTGCGTAATCAAGACAAATGAATCACTGCGTTAGATAAAATATATATATATAACGATATACAATATTACTTATTAAAGAAAGAATGTTTGACAAAATGTTCTATGCTTTATACAAGTAGCAATTCTCCTAAATTGTAATGAACGATATACGTGACTTTTATCAACCAGAATTAATTTTTTTTTGCAGGTCGAGCATCTAGACTTGTCGGATAATCTCTTAACTGAGATCACCGACGACATTAATCGACTGACCGAGCTGCAGTACCTGAATCTGGCCAAGAATCAGCTCAATTTCCTGCCAAGTAATCTGGAGGAATTAAAAAAGCTCACCAGACTAGATCTATCGAACAACGCCATCACAAACGTAGCAGACATTGCTTCCATTAGCCAGCTACCGACCCTGACAGTCCTATACATCTCAAGGAATCCATTACCTAACTTGAAAGGGCTAACCAGCGAGGTGCTTCAGGCGCTGGATGCCGGCCATTGCCGTACGTATTAAAATAACATAAGTGTATTGTATTCATCGCCGAAGAGTATTTGTGAAATAAATGAATATCTCAAAGTTCACTTCTAAAGATATCGCCGCAAAATAATAGATTTATTCACGGCAAACAGACAAAATTACTATAATAGCAATTAATGGAAAAGAAATTTTATCTGTTTTTGACGCAAAAATATACAAAATTCTTGAAACTAAATAAAATCTATAATTTGATGAAATTAAAAAGACTTTGCGCATTCTAGTTATAACCGAACTCGGCAATCAGTCCTTGAGTGGATTACCAGCTTTGACTAGTTTGAATCTCGTGGGAAACCCGCTGAAAAATATTCAAACACCTGTCAGCGAGTCGCTGCGATGGTTGGACATGTCAGACTGTATTTTGAACTATCTGTATCCAGATACTTTCAGTCAAATTCCGAATCTAGAAGAATTACGACTGACCAATAATCCCACGCTAGTGTACAGTACTCGGTAAGAAAATTTATTTCACTGCAATTAATTTGGCTGATAGACCGAATCAAAACCTTTGATAATTATACAACTAAGAAAAAACATCTTGCAGACACGCGACCTTGCAGCATCTCAAGCTGAAGAGACTGGACGTATCGAGATGCAACCTCGACAGACCCGGACTTCACGGCTTGCCGGCGTTAACGCAAGCTCGGCTTTCTCACAATGCAATTCGTTTATTGCCAGATCGCATTTTCACTAGGAACAGACAACTAACGCACTTGTACCTGAACGCGAACAGTCTGGAACGATTAAACGCCAGCACTTTTCAAGGTTTGATGAAACTGCAAACGTTGGATCTGTCCGCGAACAATCTTGTGGAGGTTCACAAGCAAGCATTCCAAAATAACATTAATCTCAAGCTTGTGAATCTTTCCTACAACTCTTTGCACCAATTTCCGGATTTGGCGGCGACTTTCCTCGCGACGCTGGACCTATCGTTCAATCTAATTAACCGTCTCAAAGCAAATTCTCTGGAGAATCTGCCCATGATTGTAAATCTGAACTTGAGGGATAATCAACTGCAAGCGTTACCACGCGGCTTACAATCGACGACGTTAAAAGTGTTGAACGTGCAAAGAAACAGGCTCGTCGAATTACATAATAGCAGCTTTTCTGAATTGCCGTCATTACAAAAGATCGATTTGTCAGGTATGTATAAATTTTCAAATATGTATCCGTGAGAAAACACAAGCTGAATTAATACAGAAAAGATATCTAACTTTGATAAAAATTGATTTTTTACAACACGATAAATGAAAATAAACATTTACATCTACAGATTTTCCGATATTTGTTTCATTTTGATACAATTTCATTACAATTATCTATTCAATTTATTTCTTTGCTTTACTAAGTTGTTTCATTTATTTGCTTTGTTAATTAATTTCTAGGAAATCGCTTGACAGAGGCGATGGATCCAGTCATATTTCGAAACAATCCAGATTTAGCCGTGATTCGTTTAGAAGATAATCCATGGCGATGCGACTGCACGCAACTCTACGTCACTTTCGAATTCTTGACGGATCCTCCGGTCAAAACTACAGGATCGAGTTTGATCTGCCAGAGTCCGGCAAACGTTTCCGGCTATTCGTGGGAAGTCGCGTGTTTCGATGCCTGGAACGTAGACGTGTATCATAGCAAAGACAAAATTTGGGGAATGGTAATCGTGAGCTTACTTATTTTGGTCGTTCTATGTGGCAGCGTAGTGTCAATCAAGCACACCATGAAGATAAAAAGAAGAGTCGTCGAACAGAGACAGCAACTCGAGATGGCAGAGAGGGAAAGATTACGACTTTTGCACAGAAGGTAAGAATTCTTTCAAAATATTAATTGTCAAATTTTTACGTTTAATAAAATAAAATTGTTTACGTTATTTGTGTAAAATCGATACATATACTATCAGTGAGTTGACAATGATTTTAACATCATACGACGAATTAATTTTTTAGTAATTTAATATATTTTTGTGCGTTGCATTTTCCACATTTTTCAAAAAATATTGTATTTATAATTGGAGTTGATAATTAAGAAAAATGTGCTAAGTGGAAAATGAGAACCTGCAATGGATAATATAGGTATCTATTCTTCCTCAGAATCACAACCGACCAGCGCAGATGTACATACATAACAATCTCGTAAGCTGGTACATTTGCTTTTAGAAGGTGAACTCGTTATCGACGTAGTTGCATTTTTAATAAAATTTAGATAAATTCTCTAAATAAATTTGTACTACTCACAAAAATTTTTTAATAATCTCTCAATATTCTATATGCGTCTCGCAATAATATCTCAATGGAATCAAAACAAAAATACAAATTTCCAGAAATCAACAACGTTTGGAAGAGGAGGAACTAGAAGAATTGGATCATCCATCGGAACCTAGAATTAATCCTCTGGAATTAATCGGACCACCTACTTACGAGGAAGCAGTCCAGATGCCCAGACTCGTTCATTCCATGGACGCTTTAAACGAAATCTCCGTCGACAATAGTGCCTTGCGTGCTATGAGTTCTGTGGATAATCTACGGATAAAGAAAAAAAGAACGAGGAGGCCCAGAAAACGAACTCAAAGCGAGGACGATCTACTGAGGCGGGAAGAACGTCGGCAGGAACGAATCAGAAGAGAGAGAAATAATTCTAACAGCAACATCGGCGAGCAGCCGCTGAACACGAATTCCAGAAATCCGAGAACTTCCTTGGCGCGCAGATCCAGAAGGCACAGTGCCGTGGACGAGTCCATCGAATCCGGCAGCAGCAAGGACAGACCGAGACCGCAAACTCCTAACACAAAGAAGAAAAAGAGAAGACAAATGAGTAGAAACGAGCACGTAACCGATGACGAAGATTCCGATGTTCAGACATTTAATTCCAGCCGATCTGTCGTCATTAGAGAACTTCCACGAGAACCCAGAAGCGGCTTTAGAAAATCATTCATAGAACGCGAAACTTAAAATATTTTATCAAAACGATTCCAAGCGTATATAATTAATTGTTTAATACTTGCAATAAAAATTTATGAAAAAAGTTGCGAGTTTTTAGCATTCTCGATGCATTTATCGATTGTGTGCTGAGCATTTACATCCCATATTTGGCAATAAATGTGGCTCTCTAATTTTCAATTTTACTTCTTCGACGTGAAAATTATTTGACAATGATAGAATCGCATTTAGCGTCGAGCTAACAGGACGAACGCAAACCTACGATAACACACGACTGATTAAGTGATAACATTATGACGACTCACTTATTTCTCACGCTTGCGTTAAACTGGTTCTTTTCTATGTTAAATATACACGTATTATCGCCTCGAAAGAGGTTAATGGTCGAGCAAACGAAACCGGCGAAAGGTATGAGATTTGCTCTATAAAAAGTCAAAAATAAGAGCGTCTTGCTGGAACGCATTATTTTCCCTGTCGAGGTTTAAACTATAATGACGTTAAAATTGCCGGTTCGGACATAGCGAAGAGGTGCGCCGATCTCGGATTACGGTAATTTTTTGTCAGCCTAAGGGAAATTAGAATATTTCGAGGTCACAATTAACTCATCGTCTATTATGTGTATCATTTGCAAAAATAAAAGAGGCGGCAGATGCATTACGCATAGGCTGTAAATGATTGAGTCATCAAATATTCAGCAATATGCAGTAATACTCCAGCAATTCGTTATTAGATCATAGTTCTGCTTTCAGATAAAATGAATGGCACTGTTTCTAGCGATTATCAAAAAATAAAAAATTAAATATTGAAATATTAAAATTTGTAAGCATAGGTTCTTAAGATTTTTCTATCATATAAATAATATGGCGAATTGATCGCGATTGTTAATGCGGAATAATTTCTTAAAATTTAATAAATAAATATTTGTTTATATAAGATTGATATGTAAAAATCTCATAATAGAAATTTGATATTAACGAATGCACAATAATTTTATCAGAAAAAGATCATTGTACATTCCTTATTAATATTGAATTTCCATTGTTTTTTACATCGGTTTTATATAAACAAATATTTATCTATTAAATTTTAAAACATTTATTTATTCCGCACTAACAGTGATCGCGTTCTTTACGCCATATTTCTTATTTATGTGATTAAAATTTGTCTTCAATATAGTAAGTTTGTTTTACAAGAATTGTAAGTTGTTTGTATAGTTTAAACTTGTATTAAAGAGATTAAAACTGTATCATTATATCGTAATTTGTTCCTGCATTCTGTAGGTACTTCTTATTTGAATATTGGTAGTTCTAACATTTTCATTTATCTTGCTTTCTCTCGGCAGACGCAAGATGTCATGGAGTAATTATGTAGCGGTACCGACAGTATTAAAAACGACCGGTCTTACACGGAAGTCGCGTGACTGATATTTTGACGGTTAGCCCATAATCAAGTGCTGATTTTATGATTTATAATCATTCAGACGTTTCGGAGATACGAACACACGCATCTATTGATGCAGTAATATTGCATATTTCTACAAAGCTGCAATTTACACGCTGTTATCAATAAATGTGATAATTGTGAAGGAATATGAAAGTTTCACAGAAATATAAATATGTTATTACCACATTGTAGACATCTTACATATGTATGTGTGTGTGGACATATCTTTTAAACATTCAAATATAATATTAAATTATAAAAATTAATATTTAGAAGCTAATCAAATATTTTTATATCTCGCAGTGAGAATAATCTTTTCAACTATCTTTGGACTGTCGAACTTTCGAGAACAATCGTGAGAATTTATCAAGATTGTTAACAGCAATATGTGTAAAATAAATAATGCAACACTGACGTATTCGGTGACATGAAGAAAGCGGTCAAAGATGGCCCGTGACGCACCATTAAAATAAATGATTCAACAAAAAATAACACTCTCTTTTATTGATTAAAGACTGAACATATAAATAGAGTCTTCACTGAGCTGCTTATTTCATCGCTTTACCCTAATTAAATCTGACGATGTGTATCGTTGGGCCAAGTCGATCTAACGGGATCCGCGCTATCTTAAAATTAAATCATATACGCCGTACAGCATTCGACACATTTGGCTTAAAGAATCGTACGTAGAATAGTAATCGATTACGATAATATGATAACATGTAGGCGCTTCGTCACTCCGCGCGTAACTACCGTATGACGCGTCCATTTGACTGATAATCGCGCGATCAATGTCCATGGAGTACCCGTCATACGTGTGCACAAAGTGCGTCTGCCCTCTTTCGCAAGATCCCCGCATTAATCTGCGCTGTGAATAAATATGTTAATGCATAGAAAATTTCGAGTCGCCGCCTTCCTGGAACGTTTCTGTGGCCGCGAAGGAATTGTCTCGGACTGGGATCGCTATAAAAGAAATAACATGATAACAGAATATTACGTTATATATTTTCTACGCCGTGATTAATGAGTCCTATAATGTTACCTGTAGCGTTAAATCGTTCACCAAGCACTCGCACTCTGTAAACCGTCCCAAAGGTCATTATTCATAATTGACAAACTCCGCTTCTCATTGAATTACAGATTCTTCGCATCTAAGCGCGTAAACTGCATACCTAAAACGCCGCACTAGAGCTACAAAGTGCGCGTTGGCAATCCGCGGCTCGATCGAAGGACGGCGTAAGGTCGACGCGGAGTGCAATCTTCGAAGTTTCGTAATAGAAAAAAATATGGCAGAATAGTGGAATGCTCCCCGAATCTCACTTAACATACACAGCGAACATTACCGATCCTCGGATTAATCTAAGGATCCTCGCGATGCAATCTCGCGCGACAACGAAAACCGTAAGGATTTCTCGGGTGTCCCTGCACTGGCGCTCGCAGGACACGCGAGATCCGTTATAGGAAGACTGACTAGTGTACTATAGTGTTAACCTCGAACGTAACTCCACCCGCGAATCCGCCACGTGTGGCGTATATACAGAGTGTCCCAGGTGTCGCGCTACTTTCTCCCGATCAAATTAAGAGAATTGGCAATTAATTTCCGAAAATAGACGAAATATGGATAAAAAGGCGTATTTTTATTTTGAAGATCAAATAATTTCACTTCGTTCAAAAAAATCATTTAATTCGAAATTTCAGTGTTAACATCCAATGTCAAGAATTAAGGAATGTTTGACGAGATGATGTCAGAAGTAGAAAAAAAAAAATATGCGATACCCGGAACATCCTGCGTAAAGTATCGGCAAATATATACACACATAGCATTTCGTGCGTCCGATTGTTCGACGAAGCGGCCCGAGGTTACACCTGTGCCTCAGCCGTCTATCGCACACCTTCAGCTTCCCGCTCGAAAAATAAGTGTCCTTCGCCACTGCGCGGTCTCTAAAGCTCGATAACCTTTCGCATCGCGAAAGTCCATCGCGAGGAGGCCTTCCGCATGTAGGCCTAGGAACAATGGCATTATTACAAATCATCTCTCCCCTTCGTTCCTCGCGCTACATATACGTCTCTGAATTTTCTCCAGTCGACGGAGCACGGTCGATCGATTTCACACAGTGTTCGTTATCCCGTGGACTTGTTCGCTATCTCGCTGGACCCCCTTCGGGACAGGGCTTCATGGCGTCTTGACTAGATTCTCACCGGCCATCGTTCGCGTGATGAGTATGGGCGTCTTTGGCACACTGTCGGGATTTTCCTGCAAGGTGATCTTCACTCTCTGAGCGCCGGGGCTGAGCGGCGGCCCGTTCGGCTCGTGCTTCATCGGCTCGCTGTTCGTCGTGATCGAGGACTCGGAGGGCTGCGCGGGACTCGTCCTGTCCGCGAAGAAGTTATCTCTCAGGGAGTTCACGTCCACGCGCGGCCTCTCCTCGTCCCTCTCGTCGTCCTGCGAAGCGATCAGCTTCCTCGGCGGCTTCACGGGATCGTGATGATCGCCGGCGCCGTTGTGAGACCGCGGCGTCTCCTGGGTCTGAAGATTCTCACTCTCAATCTTGTCGATCTTCGCGTTATCGTTCTCCGGGGCGCCTTCCACGAGGGGGACGCTCTCGGCGTTCCCGTTGGAGGTGATCTTCGGTTGCGCGACGCCTCCGGCGTCCGGCAGGAGTGACTTCTGCATGTCCTTGAGCTCGGTGCCGTTCTCCACGTCGCCGCGCTTCCTCTTCTTCCTGCAAATGTCGCCTCTGTACGCGGCGATGCCGATAAGCGTCGCCACGACGGCGAGCAGAATTGCCAGCACTACGTACGAGCCCATGCCCTTCTTAGGCTGCTTGGCCGGCGACACGTCCGCCTGCTCGTCGTTCAAACTGTTCACCTCGGCCTTCACGTTACCCGCCTTGTCGTCGCCGCCGGCGGCCTTCAGCACCTCCACGCTTTTGACGATCGGGACGAACGCCGTGGTCGCGTCGGTGGTGACTTGCTCCGACTCGATCGAGTGAGCCTTGTTCGACTCTTCGGTGGACGACGCGCTTATAAATTGCTCCTCCTCGAGATCCGGATCCTTCGCCTCCGCGGCCGTTGTGGTCTCCGTCGAACCGAACAGAATTTCCCACAGAGCTTTCGTGATCGACGTGTCGTCGTTGGTGCTACCGTTGTTCTTCTCGGTCCTCTCCTCGTCGTAGTGTTCCGAGACGCCGGCGCCGGATCCTTCGCCGGAACCCTCGTCCTCGTCGCCGGAGCCGTACGTCGGATAGAACAAGGAGTTCTTGATCTCCTTCGTGTGCGACATCTCGGTCGTGAACTGCTCCTTCTTGTCCTCGTTGTCGAAGAAGATTTCCTCGTCGTCGTCGGCCCGCTGTGAGGCGCTCGTCGTAATGCCGACAGTGCTCTCCGCGGGCGCGATCGACTCCCACTCCTTCGTGGGGGATCCGGTCGTGGAGTCCAGCGACGTGGTCGGGACGGGGGTCTCGACTTCCGGCTCCGCCGACTTCCCGGTGCTGCTGTTAATCTCCTCGTACTCGACGCTGTTATCCTCCTCTTCGGTGGCCTCGTCTTCGAAATCCGTCCCGGATCCCTCCGCTTGATCGTTCTGCATCTCCCGGTCCTGCTGTTCAAGGCTGCAGACGATCGTCGCGCTCGGTTTCATCAATGACGTGCCCTTCATGTTGCCGGGGCCCGCGCACACGATCTTCTTCGACAGACTCGCGCCCCTCTGCACGACGAGGTCGCGGACCTTGAGAGTGGCACAGTTGCACTCGATCGGATTGCCATAAACGTCCAGATGCTTGAGACTTTTCAGACGCATCAGCGCGGGCGGCAGCTGCCGGATGGCGTTCCTACGCAAGTTCAAGCTGCGCAGGTGAGTCAAGCCTTCGAGAGAGGCCAGTTCCAGATACTCGATACGGTTCTCGCCAAGATTCAGGCTCTTCAATTTATTCAAGAAGCGAAAACTTCCCGACTTGATCTTCTTCAGGTGGCCGGCCGACAGATCGAGATGCTCGAGATTCGTCAGATTGTCGAAGAGGCCTGGAGTTAAGACGTCCTGCATCACCGGAACCTGCAAGATTTCCAGATGACGCGCCTCAATGTTCTCGAGGTCCCTTAGATCGTCGCACCGCGCCTCGGTGCCGTTCTCCAGATCGCAGAGTCCTCGAGTCCATCCCGATTGCTGGAGGAGAATCAGGAGGAGCGACAGCAGGTACGGCGCCGCCTGCATCTTCCGATCTGATTTATCTGCAACAGAGAATGCTCGCACGTGGGTAGGCTCGCCGATAATACGACGCGCGCGCACGCTCGTCGTGCGCGCCGGTTCGCGTTTCGCGAGCGACACGCGGTTTTATGTCACGCAATGAATATTCATGATGAAGACAGCGATGAAATGGTATCGTTATACACCTCGCAGAGATGAGCAGATTACGCAATTCGGTTTTCAGGGACGCATAACCGCGCCTTACGGCGCCAAGGTGCCTCGTAACGGCGATTATCAATAATTCCGAGTGTGACAGAGAGCGTTGTGCAGAATCGCGCGGCGAGCGCCGCGATGGCCGATGAGCGGCCGAAAGCAGGTCACCGCGATGGAGCGCACTTTTAAAGAGTTAAATTGGACGCGCGCGCGGTGTGTATAAGCGCGCAAAAATAGACAGTAATCGAAATACACGACAAAGCGTATCCAATAACGAAACACCGCTTATTACATCGCCCGCTTCCGGTATAACGTTTCGTAATGAACAAGACCCGTTATTTGTTGTTACTATTACGCTGCACTTTGTAATGGCCTGCAATCGCGTACGTGAAAGATTGCAATTTTCATGGTCCGCTCGAGCAGCACGAGAATGAAAGTAAAATGAACCCGGCCCGACTTCACGCAGATGATTATCTAATGGCTGCAATTAGCGCACACACGTCCAGCCAGCAGCCGGGTAATTACCGTTCCAACACCTGCAAAACATCCAAGCGAATCGTAGTCGCGCGCGATGTGTTCGATACTCAATTAGATCGAGTTGCACCGTTGCGACGGCGAGGCGCTGATAAACCGCGCCCGGCCACCTACGTGATTCTTATCAGCATTATTGTTATCACTGCCTCAAGCGCAATCGTCAAAGTGGAGCTACAGATAAGAGGCGAGTCCGGTACGAATGCGATGGAATATGAGTTCGCTTGCGTTGAAAGGTACGACGATTCAATATTTCTATTAGTCGCCGTAATAACTCGCACATTGTTCGATTGCATGCAGTGAATCATTTGAGACATACGTCATGCATTGTGCTCAAAGATATTTTTCAATTCACATAGCTCGATTGCTTTTGGCTGCTGCAAAAATATATTATTCAATCTTTTGTAGAAAAATAGAATATATAAACTACGTAAATCTTCATAAAATGTACGAACTCATACATATTTCGAAATTCGAAGAAACAAAATAGAAATATTCTTCAATTGAGTACATATAAATTACAAATTAACACAAGTTGACCAAAAATATTCTTTTTCAACTAATATGTAAAATAATCGCGTGCACATTTGCCGAAAAAATAAACATAAAAGTTCTACATATGTACGTTTAGAATAACACAACGATGCTATTATACAGATTTCTATAGCGCAAAGCAAGATGCATAGTCGACCGTCTGAAGAAGGAAAATTTATCGGCCTGATGAGGCTCTCTTTCGCCAATCTGAATGCCTCTTTCGAGCGCTAAAGCGTACCACGTTGAGCGTTCTATACATAGACAGCAGGACGGAGGGCGAACGGTTTGGGCATGTTATTTGCATTATTTTGCATTCTAGCCGCGGTGTCGGTATAATGTGACGTCATTTCCACGTATAAAGTGTGAATGCGAATGAAAGAATAGAAGGCGGCAACTCGCACTAAGACGAACGTTGAACTCTCATGATCGATCACAATCGCGTTTAATTGAGTGGCTGCATGTGCGATTCGACGACGCGTTCCTCGCGCGTTAATGATGCCGCATGCAGAATTGAAAAAGGGTGTCCCTCTCGCTATCAGCCAGATAAAGCAAATAATGGATCCCGTTATGCCAACCAAAGATACCGATAAGCCGATACTGATTTCACGCCGTTGCGTAACCGGCGCTCCACGGCTCGCTTCGAAATCGCGCATTCGATTCACGATTAATCGCATGATCGACGAAGGAAAATTAGTAAACCAAATTGGACTTTTCAGAATGTATTAATCAGAAATGTGTACAAAAATGTATGCATAAATAACGCGTCGCATGATAACAAGCCAAGCAATAAAAATTAAAAAATGAGGTAAGAAACGGTACTTTTTTAAATATTTGCGTATTTTTTTACACAATAAATGCATAATTCCAATCATAAAATCTTTCAGCATACAACTACTAACAAACTCTTTCCTCTTTTCATATTTTTTTCATCGAGGGAATAAATTATGAAAATTTATACAGATTAATTTTTAGATTAATTATTACGACCATTATAGGTTTCACGTAGCGCGTGCAGATCTTTGACAAACAGAAAATAATTTCGTAGTCTTGCTCAAACGAGGAGCGGCTGGCCAGCGGCTACAAGCGTGGCTACAATCGCAAGGCAGATGCAAAGCGTTTTCCCGACTTAATCTTCAAACGGAAGCAATGCCCTACGGGGTCTCAAGTACCTTTGCGCGACGCGATGAAAGACACTCGCTCGGAGGGGTTTGCGTGATCGCGTAGGTGGAGGCAGGTCATGGCCAGTGGGTCCGAGAACCCAAGGGGGGGAAAAGGGACAACCCGGCTATTTCCACGCTCCGCGGACGCATCCACGACGGTTCACGAAGAGCGACTTCCCGTAATTCCGCGAACGGTGCTTCCGTAACGAAAGCATACGGCATGGCATACGGACGTTCCACAATGACGCAAAGTCTTTTTTCGGCCTTGATTTCTCGGAACGGGAAAAAAGAAACGAACGCGCGCGTTTGTACAGCCGAAAGTGACGATGACAAAAATTTACATCGCGCAAACATTTCCCTTCGGCGAGCGACGCCGTCTATTTAAAGTTGCATCAACGTGTTTACGCTTTGCGTAAGACACTGATGTTGCTAATTGAACGCTCAAACGCGGGAGCTGGCTGCGAAAAGTCGGCCAGCCGGTTGTGTCGCGGTGCAGCCGGCTAAGGACTATTTCATGGGGATTAAGACTAATTTTATGCGCGACGATGCAATTAATTAGTGAAACGCATAATGATAATCGTGACCAGTGATTAGAGCAACGCATTCCGCCTCCCTTCCTCGTGTCGTGCAACAAATATAATATCTCAATCGGTCACTTACAACTTGTTTACTCAGATTCGATCGTGAAAACGCCGTGATCTCGGGGGCATCTGCAACACATGAAACGGACAAATAAACTCATTAGGTTCGCTGCTCGAGCGCTATTTGAGGCACCGATGCGCGTCGATCGGCTGGATGATCGGCCGATCGGCGGGCGAACGACCAACCGAGAAACGAACGATGGTAATCGAAGTGCAAATGAGCGGCGAGCTAATCCACGACGTCAATCGATTTCAACATCTGCGCGCAGCTTAGCCTTTGTTCTTTCGCCATTTGTAAAGCGTCCGTCTCTGCGGCACGCTATACGCAATCACTCTGGTGCGTTACGCGCAACGCTCGCGCGCACTGATCACGGAAAAGCGATTCGCGACGGTCTCCCGATCGCGATCGCGGTATCATTTCGCGAGGAATTTCGTGTTCGCATTCCAGATCGGCACGTACGTAATAACGCAATAATCCACTTTCGAGGCTCTCATGTCAATTTGCCCGCCGGGACGTTAAATCATTCGACTGGATTTAACCCGCCGCGAACGGTCACACTTTCGTTCTCGTTTCTCTCCCCCTCCTGCCTCCCTCTGCCCCTCAACATCCCCCCCCCCTGCCACTCCTCTTGCGCAAGATTCGTCTCGCGAATTTTTCCCAACCTATTCCCGTCTATCGCTCGTCGCTCGCTGACTCACTTTCCAGGCGCGAGATTTCTAGTCCTTGACTTTCCGGTTCCTGGGTCGCAGCGCATAATAATAATTATTATTACAGCACGGCTGTTTCTCCGGATTTTTGTGGCCCGCATCCTTCGCCGCTTCGCAATCGAGCCGATTGCAAAATGTCTCCCGATTTGCGCGTGCTCGTATATTCGACACGCTGTGCTTCTCCCGAGTTCAAGGGGCAACCCCGATTACGATGCCGATTACGACGTTCCACGTCGCGATGTTATGTATTTTATTTAATGCGACTTATCGCTATCGAGGCTAGAGGCTATTCCTCATTTTAATCGAATCGCCCGAACATTTTATGCCGCACGTGCCGATATTATTCACATTATTCCGTGCGTACACGCGCGGATAAATAATAAATAAATAAACGACTGAGATTGCAAGATTCTCCGTTGCACCGACAATTCCAAACGCACTTCGAATAAAAAACTGCAAAATCAAGACCACCTTAAAATGTCTCGATATTTCACTAAATTTATATAACGCTTTGCGCTTCCGGAAGTTTTTAATTGAAATTTTTAATTCTATAAAACTACAATATTTAAAATTTTTAATAATTACGAATTTAAAATGATTTTAAAAAATAGATACTTCTGCTTCGATCGCTTTGCGTGCGTGAGTGCTTTGTATGCGATCACGCCATATCTCGCGCGAATTCAGCAGAAAATTCGTAACAAGCGATACACTGAACATATACGCCTTGCTGGTTTGGTTACGGCTCGGTTTTTGCCAACTCCGTTCTTAACGGTACTGTCGCGTCCTCGTGGTCCAGTTCGCCACGTGTTTCCACGTGAGAGCCTAACGATTCAAGAAGTTATTCGTACACTTTCGTACACAGGTAGAAGTTAAAAGTAGCTGCGGCAGCGGCTTACTTAATTCCGAATGTCATTTCGAATGTTAATATGTCATCCAGTAACTCTGCTCAATCTTCATTAATTTGAATAATCTAGTTGTAAAAAGCTAATAAAAGTCGCAGAGCTAAGTGTTCGAAATATTAATTATTCATTAATGTACAATCGTTTCGGCATGTTGAATTCGGCCGTCTTCATTGAACGCAATAAATAAATAAAAATTTATGACGTCATATCAATACCATTAAACCGCACGCGAAACAATATAATAAAGTCTATTTCGGACTGATAAAACTGAGGCTGTCATTTTACATATAGTTGGTGAAAAAGGCAACGCAATTATTCATAATTATTGTGAAATCTTAAAACTATCATTGATCAGTTTCGCTTAAATTGTAAATGTAAACCATCAATCTCAATGCAACGCCGATTATTTATAAACATGTATATCATCCTGTCAAACTTTTAAAATTTAATGTCATCGAAGTCAATTTCGATTATAATTCAAATAGTAAAATAACGTCCCACTTTATTTGTTCGATTTATTTTTGTTACTTTATGCGAAAACTGAAACTACAGAATGTTAGTCAAGTAATGTCATTGTGCGTGAATAATTTTCATATTTTATGCAAAAATTTATCGGGATTTCAAAAAAGTATTAATTGAATCATCAAATTAATTTGCAATTTAAGAATTAACTTAGCTCTAAGCAAATCTAAAAAATGTATAATTATAAATAAAGAATAATACGAAAAGGATGAGTAATTTCTTAAAGTAGTATATATAAGAACGCGATTAATCGCTCGCGCATGAATGGGTTATTATTAACAGACTAATATCGCACTGTTGCTGTTAACGAACTCTGTGCCATATAAGAACAGCCGCGTATCGCTCGTGGAATAATGCTTCACGCATAACGGTATCTTATTCTAGACCGATTAAGGCATTTTGTACTGAATTGTATTGAATTAATCAGTTATCCACATTTGTGTTATTTTCAAAAGAGAAACGCTCCAGCACAATAAATCATTATTATTTGCAAGTTTCTCGGATGCAATGTAGAAATGGCATCAATCAATCACATTATACAAGTATCAACAACTAGCAAGATAATTTGATGGTCGATTTTTCTAACAGTCTTTCGAAATTTCTTTTTTCTAATCCGTACTGATTCACTCTTCTGTCTGCAGTTTAATTTATGAAATCATTCTGTTATCATTCGCGACGACGTTGTTCAATGATATCGATCATATGTGACTACATTGTCGGTCGCGATCATAATCCATTTAGATTGGACTTTGATCGCAAAGTTAATGTACAACTCTGTGCATCAACGTAAGAGATTTCTTTTGCTGGAAAGATCTTCCAGCTTATCTTTTTCAAATTATAAAATTCTTTCATAAATTTTCGATACTTTTAACGAAAAATAATATCCAGAAAAGAATACAATAAATCATGAACTATTTACAAAAATTTATAGACAAACTGATAAATAATTTTATATAAAAACTAATTATATATATTTAAAATATATATATATATATATAAATAAATACAGTGTAATAAAAAAATTCGGGCTTTGAACATATGTCTCTCTATCTTATTGATTGACTTAAATTACGTTTAAATTGATCTTCGATAAAACATACCAAGAATCTCGCAGCAAATTGAATTTACAAGTTTGTAGAGCAATAAATTGGCTATGCTCGCTGCGAGAGTTTATGTAGATAATAAGCAAAGTAGATCTAAGGAACTATAAGTATAAACGCTCTTTAATGTACGTAATATATGAGTATCGACAGAAATAGCGCAAAGCTCTTCCGAATAGCATGACAAAATTCCACAAAAAACTTTGAAGTCAAGTGTGATCAGCGCTACTTTGAAGTCGATGCGCAATGATGATAACGCGGTTAAATAATTCGAAAAAATATATTTTTACGATTTTAAACTACCATTATCATTGATCGACATAAATCTAAAATATGACGTATGACGTATTTCAAGAGAATTTTTTATAATTAACAAGATAAATTATGAATAAGTTGCACTTTTTGCAGACCATGCATACTTATATTCTCGACAAATAAAATAAAAAATGATTTATATCGCTTAATAGCGAAAAAACAAGTTATCATATTAATTACATGTTGTTGTGCTAAAATTTAATTCTTGCGTCATTGCAAGCAATTTTTATATCATTGCGGCAAAAAAAAATAAGAAATGAAGAAGAATAAAGTAAAGTAGCAATAATATGTTCAAAATCATACAAGAGAAGCTTCCTTTCTCGCATAGATATCGAAGTATCAATATCAAGCATTCGTGCAAAACAATTAGCAGGCCACAATGTGCCAGAAATCACACTAGATGAATACGTTAGGGTGGGATAAGTCAGTCAATCCCGAGTAATCACGAATAACAAGATTCGCGCCGCTATCGAGTCTTTCTAAACCGCGTATGACCAACTCGATTAGTGACGATCGATCGATTTGTGCGAAGCGCAGCCGCTGCGGTTTGCGTAAACTTTAGGAAGTGATTGCAAAAGAAATAGAATTCAGACGACGATGGAGCAATAGCTATCGGCGTTGAATTCAGTAAATAGAATTTAAATTTATTTATTTCGAAACAAGTTCTTACTTTCTTTTATGTACAAAAAAATTTCTTCTTTTGTGTGCTCTCTTTTTTTCTTAAAAAAATTGATGAAATATTCCTCGTTCTCTAACAAAATTTTTCAGGGAAAGAGAATTTGTTATAAATAAGAGTTATAATTATCATTTTAAAGTTGATTAAAGAAGATATTTTACGCGAGACAGCTCTTTTGTAAAAATTAAAAATTTTTTCGTTTTTAAGAATCACACGATTCTTTTTGTCATTATTCTCTTTTTTCATTTCTGATTGCTCTCACGAAGCTTATCAGATTGCAAACTCTGCTGCACTCGTTCGTCTCATTTTTTAATAGACCATTGATAGCAAGCAAATGTTTTTTATCGTGTCAGCGGAGCGAGGACACTCGCGCAGGTGACTCAAGATCATCGTCGTGCGAAGACCATGTGCGCTGGTCGTCGTTGCTGAAATAATATCCATTGCCTGCCAATAGAGGCAATTAGGAACAATGTCTCTGTGCTGACATACATTCCGCGACGAGACCACAGGCACAATCGTTTCAAGCGTCATTCAAAAGCCAATTCAGACGAAACGACATTTCTAACGTGTTTTCTAACGAGTCGTCGTATCGGTCAACGTGCTTCGGTGCTAGTTGACAGACTCCTAACATGGCAAATGTCGAATTCGCGACGAGTTTTCATTAAGAAATATCCCGGAACGAAATTTTTGTGATATTTATTCATACTTTATACTAGAAAACTTTTCAAATTAACAGCGCTTAACGTATAAGATAAATGTTACACACATAGTGGCCAGACATCATTCTTTAAGATAAATTTTCTATCAGAATCTCATTCCCATTGTTTCGTATAGACAATAAAGATT